CCCAGGGGGCACGCCCTCCCCGGAGGCGCGACCAGCCCAGGGGCGGAGCTCCCCGCCAGCACGGGCAACCCAGGGGCGAGCTCCGCTGCGCCATATCGGCACCATATGAGCGAGAGGAAGAAGATGAGGGCAAACACGTCATTTTCCATAGCTTCTCTCTCCCGGAACCAGCAAAAATTATATTTTAATGGGGGCGGTGTGTTCTAGCAAATGAATCCAATTTCATAATGGTACTCGGCCAATATCGGAGTTGGCGGTGTGCAGCAGCCAATTTCATGTTTTCCGAATGTCATGTGGCCAAATTGCCCTAATTTATTCAATTGTTTGCAGTCATAAGATTGCTTTGCCTAGACACCTGATGCGCTAACTAACTTCTCAGGTAGTATTTGATTGATGTTTTCATCAGTTATATTTATTGCTGAACTTGTACTTAAAGACAAAGCATGAATCACATTTACTACTAAACTAGGACCTGATGCAACCATACCAACAACAATCCACTTGACACTCGATCGACAGTCACATCTTCAGGAGAAAACTAGACAACACCTTATCTTCACGCAACCTTCATGAGGCAAGCAAAATCCATGTCATGCGTCATGATGAGGATAGCTTCCAAGGTGTAGAAGTGCCATAAGTGATAAGAACATATATAGGGCACCATGCTTTTAAGGCCAGGTAGTATATATGACCAACTTCATCACCTGGAGATGTTTTGCGACCCAGCTTGGTGAATTGTAAATTGTCACTGGGTTAAGACAATAGCAATATGTATGTCGCAATTTTCTCCTCTCCTCTTAAATTGAAACGGCAATACATTTTGTTGTAATGAACTCAACAGGCATAACGACAACACTACTTGTTTTGCTTTTCTTACAAACTAGCCCATCAATCAGTGATGTTGCACGGATTATTAGTTCTAAGAGACATAAAGATTAGAGATCCATGGATAAATTTGGGGTCACAGCTAATCAAATTGCTTACATTTGCTCTCCCTTATTTGTCCATATATATTCTAAGGTAGTACTCATGTACATACTTAGTTTTTATCCAATAGTGATAGATTTTAGTTACAAATTATTGTATATTTTCCACCTCTATTCATATTTTTTTGCTCACCTTAGCATCGCTCCTCCGTCTGTGTTTGATATGTCAATAGTTCAAATTCTCTCATTTGTATTTTTTCCAAGTGTGTCTAGTAAGAATTAATGTGGAGACTAAAAGGAGTCTCCAATTTGATGATCGTAAAAGAAGGCAGTTACGTCTTTGAGGAAAGAAAGCATTTTAGGCCCTGTTTTCATGCAAAGAACTTTTGGAGTTTTAGAAAAATATTATAATTTTGTAAAATACTTTGGTTTTGAAAAATCATGATGTTCTTGGATGCAATAAACTTTATAGTATTGAAAACCATAATATTACAAATGTAGTCTATTTAGAACTTTGAAAACTCCACTCTAAATTTCTTTTCTAAACCATGGTTCTGCATGTCTACATGTTCTAAAACTGAAGTTTCTTAATTAATATCACGATTTCTTAATACTACAACATTCAAATAGAGCCAACTGGATTTAACGGCGCTATACTTTTAGTGGTAGGCGACATTCCCGTCGACAGCGAGGCGTAAGTGGTGACTTCGTGAATTTCGAGATCTGCCGGCTCAGTCCTTCGAAGGTGCTCATAGGGGTAGGATTTGCGTACGTGTGTTCATAGGGGTGAGTGTGCGTACGTATTGTGGGCGTCTACGTTGTACTGTGTAATTCTAAAAAAAACTAGATATATACAATAAAAAAGGAAAAACCGAAACTACTCGCCTCAAGGTCCAAATAATCCTTAAACTGATATTTAGTTTGATTTACTTCCTAACTATTTGAATTGGTCCACTTTACCCTTAACAAAATTTGTCTTTTTAGTTCTCCGCATACAAGTTGAATTTTTCTTTAAAATTTTGTGAGGTGTAGCTGACATCATAATTTATGTTAAAATTATATTATACATTTTCATCATTATTTCGAGAGATCATGAAATTTAATTAAAAAATTAGCACTAGAAATACAAAATTATATGAAACATAATGATGAAAATTCATAATCTATGGTTTAACATAAATTATGACGCCCGCTATCACCCTCACAATTTAAAATTAAAACTAAACTCGTACAGGAGAATAAAAAAGGCAAATCTTGTTATTAGGGCTAAAATGGACCAAATGAAATAATCAGGAAGTAAATTGAACCAAACATTAGTTTATTTGTTTATGTGGACATTGGTCAAACTTGTGAGGAGTAATTTGGATCCCCCACCCCCGAATAAAAGGATAAGAGCATCTCCAATAGTCTTTCTAAATTTCATTCTCTAAATCATCATTTGGAGAGTCATTTTTATAAAAATCGCTTTCTATATTTTTTCACAACTTTTCTATATCTCGCGCGCATTTTAGAGCAACTCCAAGAGACTCTCTAAATACTTCCTAAATTATAGGAATAGAGATTTTGGTGAAAACTATCCTCCAACAGCTTATCTAAATGGTTATCCAAATATAGCCATCTTCTATTCTGAATTTCTCGCTAGCCAAAAATAAAAGACGAGAATGACTCTCCAGAGTAAACACGACATATAGAAAAACGATTGGAGAGTGAAATAATATAGAAAACGGTTTTTATACAAATGACTCTCCAAATAATGATTTAGAGAGTAAGATTTAGAAAGGCTCTTGGAGATGCTCTTAGAGAGTCATTCTCGTCTTCTATTTTTTGGCTAGTGAAAAATCCGGAATAGAAGATGGCTATATTTGCATAACCATTTAGACAAGATGTTGGAGGGTAATTTTACATCAAAATCTCTATTCCTAGTATCTAGAAAGGATATAAAGTCTCTTGGAGTTGCTTTAAGTTTAGAAAACTATAACCCTCCTAAGGGTTTGTTAGGCTTAAAATGATATGACCTGCAACAAAAACAGGATGTAATAGTACTACAACACATGAACTGGACTGCAAGAGTTCAAACTTCAAAAAGAAGCGGCAGAGCACACACCTGCATTCTGGCGCTCTGCTTGCTCAGGTTGGAACCTTCGTCGGCCGACGTGTAAAGCGACAGGTACCCGCGGTGCACCGACGGGTCGGAGCCGCCGGCGCCCTCTGGACCCAGGATACCCGCCGCCGAGGCGAGCGCGAGCTTGAGGTCGGCCACCCACTCGAGCGCGCGCTGCGTGCCGCGCCACGCCACGACGATGTCCCTTCGCCCGAGCGCGGCGGCGCCCTGGTCCGTGGCCACGGCGACGTACCCCATCCAGTTGCACTCCCTGGCGCGGCCCTGCCGGCAGAGCGGCCGGAGGAGCACCTTCCCACGCACCTCGGCGCTGGCCGTGGCGTAGAGGTACCGCGTGGCCTCGTACCACCCCGGGCGGGACACGTCCACGCGCCGGAACAGGTCGGCGCGGCGGTACCGGCACATCCCGGCGTTCGGGGACCGGCTCTCTCCGATGAACGCCTCGTACGTGGCCATGATCATCTCGCCGTAGGTGATGAGGCAACGCCGGAGGTCCACGTCGAGCGGGTCCAGCAGGCCCTCCCAGTGGTTGCTGCCGTGCAGCTCCCTCCACCGCCCGGCCATGTCGCCGGAGAACATTTGTTACTCTAGTAGTATGGGCGTTTGGCTATCGATCTGAGTTCTGGAGGTTGTGGTCCTCTGCCTCCCCTTTGCCAATCTGTGTGGTACTGCAACTGCAAGGTTATAAGTTGACCTCGGAGCTAGCTAGGTGTGCACAAGTGGAGCATTCTTTTGCTCACATGGCACATGACAGCGCGCAGCATGGAAAGAATTCAAGGATCCAGAGCCCAGAGGGAACCAGGACCATCTGAATCTGTCGATGTATAAAATGCTTTGAATAGGTTGCCAGCTACTAGAACTGATTTATCTGACATTATTATGCGCTATGCATTGGTCTTCAGTGGAATGCTTGAATTGATAATTAGACATTCGCATAGCCTTTGGATCCCATTTCTGGACTAAGTTACAGTCTACGGCCACAATGACGCGGCATATTAGATAACACTTTTGCTTTTCAAAAAGAGAGGATTAAAAAACAGCTCTCGATCTATCAGACCAACAACTGCACTACGGGAAGACGAAAGGAAATGAGATCCATGGATCCATGGGCTGTTGGGCACCCTTTTTTATCGCAAAAAGCTGCATGCTGAAATAATATAAGCAAAACAATCGCACAGCACAGCACAACATTATGCCTAATCCGATCAACTGTGTTGAGGGAAAGAAAAAGAAGATGATCACCTCAGAGGTGACACCTCTGCTTTGGAAGAAACTGAGCAATTTGGTGGGGGTGAGAAATGGCGGGCGGCATGTCAAAACCACCTCTCCTGATCGAGCATCTTGACAAGGGAAGGTGTTGGTCGCCCGTGGTCCATCTGTATGTAGTCCATGGCGGATGCCAAGATGAGATCCAAGAAAGGGAGAAAGATGTGCTAGGACAGAGGATTCGGCCAATCGGAACAACGAGAATGTTAGTTCTCTCCCCTCCGCCGCGCCCCCCCACCCCCTTAAATATCTCACTTAGGTTCGAAGTTTTCCTCTTATGGAGTTTTTATGTTTTCCACAAATTCAGTATCTTAAAATCGATATAGAAATACATAACCATAACTGTATCATTAAAGACATAATGAGTTGTCTTCATCAAAATTTAGTAAGTCATACTTTTGCCGCACTATATAAATGGAAAAGCTGTTTCGTAATAAGTAATCCAACTATCCAAGCATGTGCACTTTCAATCAAAAATAAAAGGGAATAACAAAGATGGTGAAAAACATCCAAACTGTACTTTTTTTTCCTCAAAGATCCACTGCTCAACAAATTTAGACTTTATTACAATCGATAAAAGTCAATGAAACTCATTATTTGAATACAGAAAATTAGCCAAGTACAATTTTAAACACAGCGACACATGTGTTCTGGTAACAAACTTGTAAAAGATGAGTTGCCAGGCTACATCAGTCATCATCCTCATGGTCGGCCAGATGCCACCGGCCATCCTTGCCTTTCACCATACCTTTGTTCTGTACCACCCACCATGATGATGGGATAGAAAACTCATCTTTCAGTGCATCTTCATGTTTGTTCACCAAAGCAATGTCTCGATCAACCAACAACTCGAACCCTCCACTGCTCCCCTGAGCCCCTGCAACCCCGTGCATGTAGCACTCCATGTCATGCCATGTTAAGGGGTTTCCAGGGGCCTTCAGATAGGGTGATTCCCCTGTGTCGATCATTAGCTCTGTACCGACATCACTGTATCCGAGCTTTGGCCATTTTGGGACCACATCAGGAGAGTTCCGGACTCGGAGCAATCTCAGATCTGCTGCACTGTCAAATGCTTTCTGAAAATCAGGGTTACCGACTCTCGGGCTTCCAAATACAAACGCGGACACAGGGCAGCTCCTGTTGTAGCAATTGGAGACAATGTCAATTGCGTTGATGGTGGCAAGTGCTGCTCCTAGGCTGTGACCTGTTATGGAGATGCTCGTCTCCTCTGTCTTGTACAAATCCTGTATCCTTTTGACCTCATTTAACACCTGCTAATTTTTGATAGTTTGATTAACACATGTTTATTATATTTTTAACAAATGATGAGCAAAATGAAGGAGCTACATCTATATGCACAATCAAGGAGACAATGATGCATGTTGGGACTTGGGATAGCATTATTCAAGGTCCTGTTTGTAAAAATGAATTCAAACTTTTTGAAGACACAACCACAATTTTTTTTGTATGTTGTTGGTGTTCATGTTCTTTTCTTGCTCGCACCTAGCGCCCTCCATTCCCGGCCTCGCCGGTATGAATGAAAAATTAGTCTGGGGGGACCCCTCTTGACTTCTCAAAAAAAAACTTTTTATCTTAGAATACAGACATACAGTACACTAGTTGTGTGGCTTGTACCATATTTGTGTTTTTGCAGAGTAAGCTTCGGTTGGCTCACAAGTGGAATTATCTCCCACCTGAAATCATCATGATGTTTCCCTAGTGCTGAGATGGATCAAAAGAAAAATACCCAAGGGTAGAATCTTTTCTTCATTCCTTTTTTGAAACTAGCTACGAGTTCTGGTATTCACTAAAGGAAAAGGCACCTAAATTGGCCTCAGGTTCTCGACCTAGGCTGGTGGGAGGTTAAATAGTCTCCCCACGACCTGGCCAATGTTCCCACTGGTGGGAATCAGAAATTTGTTTTTCTAAGATGGCAGACTAACCTTGAACATTACCTGTCAAGGCATTTTAACTAATTTCTATACTTACATATTGAATCAAACCACCTAAAAACTGTGCATTGTTGCAGGGGATTTATTCATTGACACCTTGATGAGTTCCCAATGGTGAAGAGCTCTACACCACCCTGGTCCAATCCCAAAGGTGCAGCCTGGGTGGGTCATCTATTTCAAAAAGTAAAATAGTCTTGTGCTCATTTCTGAGTGACCTGAACGGCACTTCTCAAGCACTACTACTCAACTAGAGAACACCTGCCTAGTTCAAAAGGCAAAGCAGTGCTTGACACTTAGATATAGTGCCCACAAATCATGTTGTTTTAATTAGGTAATGCTCTTTACAGATACCATGTTGTTCTTTCCTTTGCTTGAACTCTAATGAAGGAACACTTTCACTTCAAGCATATACATGATTAGAAAGCATACAATACACTCTAGAGTCTAGACCTTGCTGTTTAACTTGTTCACAGATTGGTATTATTTTCTTCAGATCGGAAAATTTTGTATTGTTTAATGAATATTCTAGAATTTGAATGAGTTACCTGATTTCTTGCACTCTCTTTGTTGTATTGTGACCCTGGATCAGCACTTGTGTAGACTGAAAGCCACCCTCCATGCACACAGGGGTTAGTTGCGCTGCCTGGAAGAACTATGTCTGAAGCAGGCACCAAGGAAATATCAAGATCATCCATCCACTCTACCATCCGTATTGTGCCACGCCATGCCACCACCACATCCCGCCTCCCAAGCACTTCCTTACCCTCGTCTGTAGCTACTGCAACAAATCCCATCCAATTTGACTGGCTGCTCCATGCAGCCTTTGAAAGAGACTTAACCATGAATCCATCAGGTAAGCTGACAGTACACATTGCATATATGAACTTTGTAATCTCATACAAATTTGGGTTTGATACATCCACCCTGCTGAGGAAGTCTCTGCGGTTGAAGAGGCAAGACCCAGCATACCTTGATCTTCTCTCTCTGTTTAGCCCGGTATAGGCTGCCTGGGAGAGCTCACCATAGTTGATGATATTCCTACGAAAGTCGAGGTCGAGAGGATCAATTAGGCCTTTCCAATGATTCAAGCCATTGAGTTCCTTCCATCTTTTGGCAACGTTCCCCATCCCTCTTATAAGACTCATCTTTGCAGTGTGTGCCTCTCTTTCTCTTGCTTGGTTTTCTACATGCTACAAGAAACCAGAACTTCATGTTCCACCTGCACATATATAGGTATGATAGGTGGTAGCTTGTCCATCAAATTTTCAGTTCAGTATGCATGAAGAATAGAAGCTCCCCTGTCATTCTTTCAGCTTATCAATCTGCCGGCCAACTTGGGCATGCATCCTGGATTTCAAAGCATAAAGAAGCTTGCACGGATCAAATAAGGACCTAAAGAGAAATGGACCATTTATCTGTATGCCAACTGTACTAACCAGACAAAGTAGGGAAGGCAAATAATGTGCAGCCTTCCGTATCTTTGCATCCCTCTCAAGATAAGCACTGGATACATGCCCGTGCGTTGCACCGGAGCCATAATTTTTTGACTAAACCTCACACGGACTAGTGACCTCTGTGATCATTGTTATTCACCTCCGTAGATCCGGCTTGTTAAGTCTCTAGATTTCATATGAAATGTCTATAACGCCTTTTTCTTTTTTCTTTTTTATTCCTTTTTTTCTTATTCTCTCTCTTCCGTATCCTATATCCCCATCGGCTGTCGCAGGACGCTTCTCTGGCATCTCCTAACCGCACGGGACCGGGACGCCATCTCGAGCATGGGATACTCCTCCACGTACCGCAACCGACACCACTCCATCCCCGCGCTGGCCTCGTGCCCCTGCCCTCGCTGGCCTCCTCGTCCTGCGGCGTTTGTTCCAGCGGCAACGGCACCCCCTGGCTCGGCAGTCTACGGCCTCCACGCCCGCACGTCCGTCCACATCAGACGTTCAGACTCGGAGTCTATTTCGTTTCCGTAATCTCTTGTGGAAATCGTTGATGCAATTCATGCTTGATTTTCTTTCCTTTTTATTATTCTTTTGTTTGCTAGCAACGTTTGATTTTCTTTCCTTTTTTTGTCTTCCTGATTTGCTACGGCGGTTTTGGGGGTTGAGCTGGTCGCATGGAGCGAGTGCGCGTTGCCTTCCTGATCTGATCGCATTGAGCGGCTTTGGTGTTGCACCTGTGGACGGAATAGTTATGAATATTTTAGTTATAGAAGATAGAGAAATACCTTCTATGACCAGTAGGCTGCAGTGGACCAACTTAAACCTTCTGCTGCTCTCCAGCCAACAGGCCTAGTGTAAAGGTAAAATACAGTTTGCAGCCTCCGGACCATCATCCAAACTAGATGCATCAATCAAATCATGCAGGAAGCTAAAGCATTTGACAGTGAAAATCTTTACTAATCATGCTTTTTTAAGTATATATGTACAATGATATGTTTGTCATCACCAAAAGAAAATTGCAAACAACGAACATATAAAAAATTAGCAATTCTGTATGCGAAGGATGGATGCAACCAACTCAGGAGTCTCTTCTATAAACAACATACATACAGTACATACTACGCACAGGAAAGTTGCCCTAAAGCACTAATCGCGATAACTTGGTAAGGAGTAGCATGATTAGCTTAGGTTTCACTCCATCCCAACAAAGATTTTGTCCTTTTTCAGGTTAAGACAGATCTAGTTGGTTTGAAGGTTTTTGGTTTCAGCAGTTTCCTTTCTAGAGAGCCTTACTGTACAAATGTAAAAATATTTACCAACCTCAGTTTCCAAATACTTGGATACTTTGACCAATGACCAAAATGCCCTCGTAAAGTTATCTAGAATACTTACATAGTACTTTTATAGGAGCAAGTGCCAAGTATTCGGAAGCAAATAAAGTGGTGAAAAGTGTCAAGTATTTGGAAACAGGGGTTGATAATAACATAGATACACCTCATTAACCTTCCTGTCACTTTCAAAGTACTCCCTCCATAAAACTTGATGTTCTAGGATTGTCCTAAGTCAAACCATTGTAAGTTTGACCAATTGATATTAATACTTCCTCCGTTCCAAATTATAAGTCGCTTTGATTTTTTTTGATACATCAATCTTGCTATGCATCTAGACATAATGTCTAGATACATAGCAAAATGGATGAACCAAAAAAGTCAAAGCGACTTATAATTTGGAACGGAGGGAGTAAGTAGCAATACCATTACCAATTGGTGTCATAAGTGTTGATACTTTTATGTATAAATTTAGTCAAACTTTGGATATTAGACTTAGGACAATCCTAGAACATTAAGTTTTTTGGGGCAGAGGGAGTAAGTTTCGTTGGTATATCAGCATCAAATATAAGCCTTAATCAAACGCACACAATTTAGTACCTCAAAATCAATTAATTCAATTCAATACACCTAAGAAATAAAGGAACCATCATGCATTCAAAGTAACAACTCTGTTTTTCCTTTTTAAATTTTTATGTGAGTCCCAACTATTGCAATATAAATTAAGGATAACAACACAAACAAATTGAAAGGTCACTTCATCAGTGCTTCTCAAATCTGTGCAGAGAAACTTGCAAGTACTTCCCTGAGACATCAAACATTTGAAGAAATACAATTCAACCTTCCAACTTCCATGCACAAGAAAGTAATAGAACAGTCTCAAGTATTACACGATGCTTTGCTCATTAGACTGAGCTTGATAATAAACATATAATATCCTGCCTGGGCACTAGTATTACATGACCATATGATCCCTGCAATTCTGCATTAAAGGTGAGGACCTTCAATCCAAAGGAAACAATATTTTTGTAGTTTTACCTAAACTGTAAGCAGGTAGTTCTATTCTCGGTTCAGTTTAGTGCTTTTTTTTAACCTGCTTTAACCTTGTCGCTAAACAGAATGGGCTCATCATGACACACTAACAAGTGAACTGAGAGAGATGTAATGCGATGAGCGCATGATTGAAAAACATGCACCATTAATTGGAGCCATAAGATAATACCATAAGTTACAGATTTTCAGGCAGCTACACTCGAAATTTTGTTTGACGATACTGCACCTGTTACTGTCCAAATGCATGTTCTAGGACATTGAGCAGAAGTCTCAATGCCCTGTGGACCCTCAGGTACAAGATTGCATCCTATGTGCAAGGATAATACTTTTCCAAAATACTCTGAACTGTTGCAGTTTCCAAAGAAATAAAAAAATTGGTCTTTTTCAATTATGTGAAACTCATATATCAATACTCCTTTATTATCATATCACCACTAAACTGAAATAGGTTTATTTACTGAGGAAACATAAGTTTGCCTTCTAGATGAATCCATATAGAGAAAAAAAATCAAGAACACATCAGAGAGAATATATTGGTCCCTTACCAGAAATCCCCACAAGAGCACACCCCATCTTCAAATCGGTGGAACCGACGATTATCCCTAAGAACCACAACTCTACCTGTGCACTTAGTTAGATACTTAATTGCATTGTGGCAATCATCACGCACATGCAAATTCTTCATAACTCGGATTGGCACACCTTGTGGAACAATCAAAAGACCTAACCCTATTGCTAGCCTTTCACTGTGATACCTCACTGTTGCTCGCTTCTCATCCCCATCCACATCCTTAACCACTGCACTAGTGTCTGCCACATAACCAGCTGCCTCCATCTTCTCACCAACTTTCTCTAGCACCTTGTAAATTTCCTCACTTTGTTGGTGTCTCCTGCAGTTCGATACAAAGGTATGCACCTCCCCTGCAGCTTCCAACCAGCTAAGTCCTGTTTCTTTCCGTACACCTGCATCACGCATTGCTTTCCTAGCAAGAGCTGCATCAATATGCCTTCCTGCAGCTGCATATGTGCTTGACAAAAGCATATGTGCCCCAGAGCTACGAGACCCTACATGACCAAGTAGGTCAACCATTGAAGCATAATGTTCAGCCTGTCGTTCAATGCCATAATCTTTCATGAGAGAAAAATATCGCTTCCCCTCATCAACAAGGCCAGCATGGCTACAAGCAGTGAGCAAGCACAGGAAGATTATGTGATTGGTCTGGAATCCAGCGTTCTGCATCTCTATAAATCGCTCAAATGCTGCAGCAGTATGTCCATGCTGAGCAGATGCAATGAGCACTGCATTCCAAATGCCAAGGTTCTTCTCAGGTGCTTCATTGAACACCCGGTAAGCACACTCTACAAGCCCACACTTTGAGTAAACCGAAACAAGTGAGCTACCCACAAAAGGTGATGTATGAAGCGCTGTCTTTGTAGCCCTGGCATGCACCTGGGCTCCAAGCTCAAAGAGTGTCGCTGCAGCACATACTCGGATGATGCAAGAAACTGTGTAGTCATTCACCGGCACGGCCTCCTCAAGTGCCAAGCGGAAGATTCCCATCGCTGCAGGATGCATCCCCGCGTCAGCATACCCACAGATGAGTGCGGACCAGGAGACAACATTCCGTTCCGGCATTTCATCGAATAGCCGTCGGGCGTCTGCAAGGTGGCCGCACTTGGCATACATGTCGAGAATCGCCGACCCAACAAACACGTCGCCTGCGAACGGAGTCTTGGCGGCGAGGCCGTGGAGCGCGTGAGGGGCGAACGGAGGGCGCGACAAGGTCTCGGCAGCGGCGACGGCCTTCGCAGCCGAAGGGATGTTGCGGTCGGTGGCGGGGACGCCCGCCGCGAGCATGCGGCGGAAAGTGTCGAAGGCTGCGGCGGCGAGGCCGTTCTAAGTGAAGGAGGAGATGAGGGAGGACCATGCCGCGGGAGAGGGCGGCGCGGGGAGGTCGAGGAAGGCGCGGAGGGAGAGGTCCGGGAGAGCGCAGCGCGCGTAGAAGGTAAGGAGGTGATGCCCGAGCAGCGTGTGGGAGGAGGCGGTGGCGGGGACGTGTCCAGCCTTGAGGAGGTGGCCGTGGAGCTGCTGTCCTTTGGGGAGCGCGCGGGCGGCGGAGAGGGCGACGAGGAGCTCTGACAGCTCGCGCGCGACGGCAGGCAGCGGCAGCGGCAGCGGCGCGGGCATTGCGGGTGACAGCCTGTGCAGTGGCCAGTGGAAGGGCACGAGTCGCGCGGGTTGAAATATTTTCGCCCTTGAGCTGGGCCTGGGCTAATGTAAATGGTGTAATTTCAATGGCAGGGAGCCTGGCCCGGCATATTTCGGCCGTTGCTTCACAGGCCGGCCTAGAACTCAGCCCAACAAAGCCTTTATTTGTTCTCATCGAGAAAGAGAAAGAAGAAAGGAAAAAGTCATTGCAATTTGCAATGTAAAGCAATGCAAAGTAACATCCCTGCCCTAGTTTAAAAAAAAAGTAACACCCCTGTCCAGCTGCCATATCGGATGGTGATTTTGCACTGACGTGGCGTTAACGTGTGAGTGGTTTTATTGAGTAGACATATGACTTGGCAACTATACCGTGATGATCCAGTGCTGCATTTAAGTTTAGCATGTGCATCACGATCATAGTTTGCACCGACGGAACATCTACCGCCCGGACGTTCGGACATGGCTAGCGTCTGAACACCCGCACCTGCTGCGCCGGCTTCATGTGGGGGCCGTGCCGCTCTATGTCCCGCACCCGCACCGCACCATGTCCCGTGCTCGCACCATGGCCCATGCTGTTTCGTGTCCCACGCCCGCACCGTTGCTGGCCCGCGCCGTTTCATATCCCGTGTCGCACCGTGGCCTGTGCACGCTTTGTGTCCCGCGCCCGCACCGTGGCGTCCCATGCACACCCACGCACATGCAGGCGGGCCCAGCAGCTACGGCAGATGGCTGCTGCAGATGGGGCCCACTGCAACATATGCAATACCAAGATCTACTTTTGCAACATCTATATGAAACACTCGCAACATACGTCCGAAACAATTTGAACACTTACAACATACGTCTGAAACACTAGGAAAACATGTTTGTAGCCATTGCAAAAACATATGCAACATGCAGATAAGACACTTGCAACATATGTTTGAAACACCTGAAATATTTGAAACATACGCTTACAACATGCATGTATATGCAACATTCATATCTACTTTTGGAATATCTAGATGAAACACTTGCAGCATACGTCTGAAACAGATGAAACATTTAGGACATACACTTGAAAACACCATTGCAACATGTGCAACATCCCGATCTACTTTTGCAACATCGATATAAACACTTGCAACATACCTCTAAAATATTTGAAATACTTGAAATAGACGCTTGTAATATGCAGTTCCAGCGCAATATCTCCTTACTGTTTGGGAGAATGGATCCTCATCTCGGCGTGTGGAGTTCTATCTTAGCCGTCGTGGGCTGCACGCGGGCGAGTTCCACCCCGGCCACAACGAACTGGGTAGGTGGGTGCGAGATGTGCATGGGCGGGCTCCGTCCGGGCTGCTGTGAGTTGCACGTGGGCGAGCTCTACACCTAGCCATAGCGAGCTGGATAGGCGGAGGCAGAGGTCTTCCTGATCTCTGACTAGGCGTCCGGCCCCTATGGTGGAGGCGGCAGCGGTGTAAGTGCAATAAAGCCCTAATGTGGGTTTTGGTGATAATGACCACATAATTAGGGTACTAATGAGATTTATAGAGATGACAAGCAGATAAAATGAGAAGAAGGATTAAACACACGATGGTGGAGTCCTGAATTACAAAAGGACATGGCATCCGACTCAAAAGGCGTTTATAATTCATTTATATTTTGAAATTGAGTTTAGGAAAAGCCGTACTACAAAGGCGATACAATGCACAAGCTTCAACGTGCAACTAAGTGCTAAAATTACCCACCAAAATGTCCACATACACATAGCCATGACAACACATTTTCACTCTTCATTCTTTGGCTGTCAGGGTAGAGCGGCAGTGCCGCGCCACGACTTGCTTTATGACCGTTGGATAAGGGAGTAGTTCCTTTACTTCCCTTCTCTCCCAACGGTCACATTCGTCCATTTGCTTCCAAACTCAACCAAAGCAGCTCTCTTCCTCTCTCTCACTCCATTGGAGCTCCTCAAGCTTCTCTCATAGATTTCCTTCCGATTCCTTGAGAGATTGAGCCTCTAAACTGAGAAAGAAAGCTCTCCAACTTGTTCTTCATCGCCTAAAGCACTTGGTTCGCGTTCAAGCCAGTGGATTGTGTTCGTTACTCTTGGAGCTTGCTCCTGGCTGGCTAGAGCATCCCCTGTGGAGCTTGCCAACTTGTGTGGCAGCCCCAAGAAGTTTGTAATCACCCTATTCATCTAGTGGAAACACCCTCATCTCAAGAGTTCACTCTCTTGACTTGAGAACGAAGATAGGGTTCCGTGAAACCCAAGCCTTTGTGGCTTCCTCAATAACATGAACTTAGGCAAGCCTTAGTGGCGAGCTAAACCACGGGATAAATTGGTGTCTCACCTGTGTTCTTGTTATTTGCTTTGCTATACTTGTGTTTGCGGTGATTCTAAGGTTTGGTCCCGATCTACTTGTTTATGCACTTCCGTCAACATTCACGTGGTGAAATAGGCTCTACCCTACCCCAGGAACCTTAGTAAATTACTCGATTTAATTTCCATTGCTTACATTTTGATTTATAGTCTCGGTTGTCAGTTAGAGCAGCTCCTAGAGTAGCACTACCATGCCCGCATTTGACATTTGTTCAAGTTGAATTTTTGTAGGCCTATTCACTCCTCCTCTAGGCATACCAGTGATCCTACAAGTGGTATCCCTTACCACGAGCGGGCGGCGCAGCACGGCTAGTGGAGCTCGTGCATATGCAGATGGTGGTGGCGCTCGTGCGGACGCAGGCGCTAGCAGAGCTCTTGCAAACATGACTGAAGGGCGGGCGGTGCAGTGGAACCGATGCGAATGGGGAAGATAAGAAAGATGTTGCTCTCTTTTATTTTTTTTATTTTTTGGAGAAATCGTGTATGCCGATGAGGGGAGCAAGCCTATGGGCCGGTCCACCCAGCTAGCCACGTCCGGACTGACTGATGCGGAATAGACGCCCGTGATAGAACATTAGCATTGCACTAAAGTTCATATTTTGAAACTTGTATAGAAAAAATTATATGTTCTAGGCTCTGTTGCTAGTCGACAACCGTTGAGCACCGACGAACAATCCATCAGTACACAACCATGCATGAATTTTGAGCTACCAAGCTCTATTCACCCTTGGCCCCACTTGTAAGTCATACCTGGCAGCTCTCCATGACCCAATGACCACCAGGAGCTGTCTCTCTTTCCCCCCTATCTCACTCTCCTTCTCTCTTTTCCACTCTCTCTAGTTCTTGCTTCAACCACCCCTTTGGTCATCTCTCAAGCAAGGAGAAGGAAGAAAGAGTGGGCAACAAGCAAGAGAAGCATCAAGGAAGGTCAAGGAGATCATCAAGATCATCCCCAACCAGCCCTTGCTAGGAGTTGAGCAAGGAGAGGTTCATTCCCCCCTTACAAGAGGAGGCTTCAAGGAGGAGGAACTAGGAGGAGGCCAAGTACAAGGTTGAAGTGGCGAATCCAAGTCCTCAAGATCCATCTTTGCCTCTTCCCCATACCTTGGTAGGTTGAATCCTGAACAAAGCCTTCTTTTGAATCATAGAGACCAAGGTTTAGCTAGTTATTGACACATAACTCTTTCGAATAGCTCAATCTTAACCTAGGCTTGTTATAACCAATGTACCTTGGTAGATGTGTTCTTTGAGACCTTATAAACACACTTGTAAGACCCCTTGCACATGCACATACCACTCCCACACTTCGCATCCACAAGATCACTTAGTGCACAAGAACTATGCATTGACGGACAATCCATCGTGCATTCATGGATGGTTCATCGAGAGGTTCTAGAGCACCCTCGCTAGAAGTGCCAATCCCATGAACAATCCGTCAGTCAATGTTGGACGGTCTATCGAAACCCACACTTAGTCATTTTCACTCATAGAACACAAGGTTGGACGGATAGTCCATCCTTCTATGATAGACGGTCCGTTGAATTTTCCCTCTCCAGTCCAAAGAGATCGTTTTGGTGCATGACTATACGGACAGTTTGTCCATCATTGTCGGGTAGTCCATCAATCCTTACACTTAGCACATTTTGTTCTGAGTCCCATGGATGATCTACTATCACCTATTCAACAGTCTGTGGAACTTCGATAAATAATCTGTAACGTGTTAACGGACAGTCTGTCAGTGGGCTAACAACACCTATCCTTCACAAGTTTAAGCACTTGTACACTATCAGCCTAGTTGGTTACCATGTGTTTTTATACATGATCATGTATCTATTTAAGCATTCCATATCAATATAAGCATTGCATTTACTCAATCATGTCATACATCATATGGGGGAGGAAGTACACAAGGAGGCGAACCATGAGAACAATGTTGAGCCTGAACTCAAAGTCGTTGTTCCACCCGCTAAGTACGAAGGCATGCATCTAAGCATTCTTCTACTATTTACAATTGCATTAACTTGAATATGTTATCTGTTACATTTATGTTGCCATATGACTAGAACCACTTTACCTATTTGAGCTTGTAACCTTGTATTGTCTCCATTGTACCTTGTAACATAAATGTTTTGCTTTTGTTAGAACATACTCTATGCTTGCATGCTTAGATGCAGTAGAAGTTGAGATGGTGATGGGTTTCTCATTACTCGCGTGTTGTAGGAAATGTTTAACCACTAATCAACATTAAACATGAGCAATGGTCTAAAACTTGGTCGCATGTTAAAATTTGACTTGAGGATGGCAAGGAGTTGGGTCATGGCAAGATGGGGAGATCTTGAATGTCATAGCTCATTGGAGTGGTTAAGGACCGTGTATCCATCATAGTAAGTTTTGAACATAAAACTCTATATACCACTTGCAATGTTATGGGTATAGTAGGCTTAGTACCTTGTTGCAACCGGGTGTCCCATGGTGTCGGGTACCTTAGAACGGGGTACCCCAAGCAAACATCAAAACAAAGCTAGGAGGTAAGCCGTGGGCCCCTCACCTGCCACGACCGAGCCCTCCTCCACCTTGCCTCGAGCCTCGAGCAGGAGGTCTCGGAACGAACTCCGCC